AAAAATAAAAACAAAAATAAAAATAAAAAGAACAAAAAGAGATAAAAAAATATCGCCAAGGATCAGGAAGAAGCTCAACAACTTCATATCCAACTAAAACAAAATACCGGGGCCCAAAAACGCATCACTAAACATAATTAACTAAATTAACGTAAAGCCGCAACAAAGTTGTTAAATGCAGACAACTAATAAAATATTAACATCCGGTAAAACTGAAGTGAAACGAAACGCTAAACCTTAAATTATGCGTATAATCAATTAAACCATAAAGCACAAGCCGTGTAAAGATGAAAAAGTTAAGGGCACTAAAAAAGCACGTTTAACAGCTGAAAAAATTGCTTCACTATCAAACTGAATAAAGTGAAATATAAGCATCAAATACAGGGAAGAAAAACGCAGTCCCTCAACTATAGGAATAACCAAGAAATAATTAATATGCGTAGGAACATATCACTGATGTCTAATTATTTATCTAATTTTCCGTTCGTAATTTCTAAGTCCAGATGCTGAAATATAAACTCCTGAAATTATTAGAATGATACTTTGGTCCGTTTTCCTCTTACTCACATCACCCATTATAACAGAAGCTGATAACAGTTCAAAAAAACAATAATAAACAAATTCAATTAGATGTCTTCGAACTACTTCTTCCAATAATCAACCTATGAAGAAAAAAATAAAATGGAAGTTAAAAAATGCAAGAACTATATAGGAGTACTATTCCGAAAAGTTCCAGTCACTGACTCCCCATAAAAGTAATTTTGCGGCAATAAGGCGTTGCAACATGCAGCATATTAACGGGAAAAGATTAAAATTTTCACATTTACGTATGAAACAATACAATTCCATAAAATCTTTCAAAAATTTATCATAAGCTTCACAATTCTAAAAATCTTCGCTTGCTTTCCACCAATGAGACAAATCTTACACCTGTAACAAGCGTAAAAAACTGCTTTTCATGGCGTACGAAGAGCTCAGTAAATTAAGCTTAAACAATTAACAGATTTCGCCAAGCTCTAAACTTCAGATAAAAAAGTCCTATAAACTTCATTGTACATGCACCTTAACAAACTGCTGTCTTCACTCACCAATCCATTAAGAGCACCAAGCGTAACTACTTTATAGCCTTCAAATGTAAATGTCATTTTGTTTCCAAGTTTCAAGTAAAGATCTTCCATCTGCCCAGTAGTAGATTCCGCATTTCGCTTATACTCTAGTTATTTTTTCAGTATTTGAAAAAAACCACTGATACATCAAAAACTTCATTTGCTCCAGGATAAACGTAAGAAAGAAATGAAAACCCAGAACTCTCTCAGAATAAAAGAAAAATGTCCTAAATTTTTTTCCTGCAATTGACTTCGTTCAATATAAAATTTAGCATATTCCAGTAAAATGTAGTAAAGCTGAGAGAAAGTTGATTCTAAATTGGAATAAAGATAAATGCTAATAAATTAAGAAAACTCGAAGTATTGATAGGAGAAAGTAGGGGAAACTATTAATGAGATGCCGTCAGCAACACCAAACAACAGCAATGATGAGGAAAAAAACTTTTATACCTAACAGCGACAAACTTCTGCTGTCGTAAATAAATGAACAAACATTCTAAAAGTTTTACTGCAAACATCAAACTACCTGATATCCCAACTAAACACTATTTATGATTAGGCCAAATTTCCGATCATCATCACTAACATACAGCATCTGAAACTAACCACCATTAATGGCAGCAATAAATTAAGTTGGGTTTACAAAACCGGGAAAAAAGTGGCATAACAAAAAGAAAAAAATTTTTTCAGCCGACTACTAAAAAATTATGAAAAATGTTAAATCACGATCCGTTTCCACCATAAATAACATTTAATGACCAACAAATACAACTAAGATCAAGAAAAAACTGCGAATTTTATTATTACAACTGTTTTAAATCAGTAAACTGCATAATTTCGCAACAACTGAAGTTTCCAACCTTTACTAAGGAAAATCATATAAATTACAGATTAGGAACTGAAAAATCCTAACCTGGTTGCTTGTTGAAACGGTTCAAATAATTATAACGAGAATATTTAGGTAACATGAAAAACAATAACAACAGTAATAGTAATAAAAGAAATTTGAGAAGAAACGAGCAAAAATAAGGTATAATGTAACAAATGGATATTTCCATCGATCATTCGAAAAGAAAAAAAAAAAACATTAAATGAGTTGAGTAAAACTTTTTCACAATTATATGTATATTTATATCGTTTTTTTTTTCCCCGTTGCCTTAAAATGCCTCATAACGATAACCACCAATACGTTTTTTCTTCAGCAAGACAGCAATCACACCAAATCACAACAACTCAAACCGTCAACTGATTTTTCACGAGAAGTGCAATTAGTAGAAAAAGAAAAAGCTGAAGAAGATAAAAACTATATTATGATAATAAATATAACACACAGACATCAAAGACGTACAAACAAACACACAGACACCGACACAAACAAACACTAACTCGCAAACAGACACATACACTAACTCAGTCAGTCACTCACATCCAAACTCACATAAATACACACAGACATACAGACACACATACGCACACAAACAGACACACACACACAGAGCGTATAGTGTAAAATGAATGCATTCACAGATGGCAAAACGCCAAAACAAGAAAGGCCGTTCACTATTCAAATAACATACTGAATCAAAAGACGCTAATAGTGCCGACATTATAAACCTTACTGCAGACAAAATTGATTTTGTAAAAATGCATCTGTGAATACAGCCAAAAAAAAAAAAAAAAAAAAAAAAAAAAAAAAAA